CAAAGATAAGAACTCCAAGACCAAACAGTCTCATGCATTCATTGTTTTTTCGAATTGACTCTCATTTAGCATACTTATTTATCATTTGGGCGCCAAAACATGTCTCAATCGGAATGGAACAGAAAAAGAGATTTGAAAGTTTTGAAACCTTGCGGCTAAACTCTACGGGAACTTTGCAGCAAAGTAAAACTGCACTCGTCCTCTTATATAGGCACGGCCATCATAGTGGCTTTTAAGGAATTAGATAGGATTTGCACGCCCGTACTACGTCGTGACGCGGCATATACTTGTTTCCCGCAGTCTTTAGATGAATGATTACATAATCATGGAAGAAAAATTTATCTTCGAATCGTCTAAAATAAAAGTAACTTTTTGATTCCTTGTCATTGGATAAGGGACTGTTTATCACATCACCTATGTAATGTATTGGTTAAGAACCTTTTCCGTTGGTGGAAGGCTCACTTATGGAAAAATCATTTATTTTTGTAATTAAGTTGCCGGCTAAGTAATGAGTTATCAAATTGATTGATGCTTTTCTATTAACAAAGTTAAAAAAAGAAAAACAGCGCCTTTAAAGGTGGCACAAAGAGATGGCTGCTAAGTTATTCATGACTGATTCGATAATGTGAATTGACCACCTTAGTGTATGTAATTTTGAAGATGGCATTTTGAGCGTCAGGGTGAATGACGAAGGTCTTACGCTCCAGATTTCAGCTTTAGAATCTCCAATGATCATTTGTTTTTAATCCATTTGCGGTCTAAGTTGCAGACAGACACAACTGATGACATAATCAGCGTGAACTGTATGTTTTTCGGAATTTTAACTTCGAATTTTGGATCCACCATCGCCGTCTGCATACAACTTTTTAATTTGTTTTCAGAAACAGGCTATTTAAAGTTATATATGAACGCGTTATAAGTATTTTAGCTTCAAGACCGTCACAGTTTCATCAACAAATTGAGTTAAACCTGGAACAGTCTTTTTTTAACTCTAAGTCGGTAAGGCATACATCATGAAAAGTAGCTTTGAGAAGCCACACCGCTTTGAAGTATGCTGGCGCTTTTTTCCTTTATTTCAAAACTTTGCGTCTATTCCTTATCAGAGAATTTCAAGTTTGTTTTACGCTGGATATTTAAAAACACAATTACAATTATCTGTAAAGTCAACGGTAGAAAGTAATTATTAAAATGTGATTG